TGGAAGCCAGTTAGTAGCAGTAATTTTTCTTCCTGTTGCGTTTTTTTGTTTCTCTCAAGGTGGCAGTTTGGATAGTTGTTTTTCGGTCTTTTACTCCTTTGGTAGTCTACAGAGTTGAGTGGTCTTTTCTTGTGCCGGAGTGGTCACGAGCTCTCCGCTCGTTGTTGTAATGCTGTAACCCCTTTTTATTTTTTCCCTCGTCTAATAAAAATCCGGCAAAAGCTTTTTACCGCGTTTCAAAAAAAAATTATTGCTAACCCATGCTGCAGTACAATATGTGAAAATAAACTGAGCTTTTGATATGCAACCAATCTAGAGGTGAGGGTAAGTGCGTGACCAAGAGGCGACACTTGAGGAAAACTGGAAGGCAAGCAAGATCTACTTAACACAGAGCACTTTGCAGTTGATATGCCAAAATTCTCAGTGATTCAGCCCTTCCTTCCTGATGCTACTACGAGTGCATCCTGGTCCATCGTAATTCTTTTCGGAAGGAATTGAACCTCGATCATCAGTATGCCTCTATGTATTTGGTGATGGCCAAGATATAGCTATGCATGCTCTTTCCGTTAACAATTTTGCATGGATTTGTGTCTCGTCATTTTATATTCTCTGTGAAAAATGGCGAGTTGTTGAGTATGTTCAGAACCGGTTCATACCCAATGAATTAGCTGTTTATATTCGGTATAGGGCAAGGTGGCTTTTGTATTATAATATTGTAGTAAGTACTTTATTAATTTTTTATGTGAGGATAAAATAGTATTCTGGATGCTATTTTATTTTATTTTATTGATATTTTCAAAAGAATTAGAATTCTTTCCCAAATACTATACGTACACTATTACAGTTAGATGCTTGCATGCCTTAATACGGTCTCCAGCACACTCATGCAGTGTCCGCACGCACAGCCTGCTAGCTTTGTGAGGCCCAGTAGGACAAAGCGGTAAGCGGAGTTGGCCCTAGTAGGCTCAGGCAGGATGCCCAAGTCGTTGACGCCGCCGTTGCGGTGTTGTGCACGCGGGCTGTCCACGGGAGTGCCTGCTTTGCATGCGAAACGAAGGAAATCATCGTGGATTTGTCCTTGCGCCCATCGAAAGGCTGCCGCCACCTCTTGGCTCTTGCTCATTTGCGGGACGCGCCTGCAAACAAAGAGGGCCCGGCTGAAAAATCCTACGAGGGGACTCCAGCACTATGCTCCGATGCAATGGTGCCACTAGTGACTCCAGCCTTTGCTCACTATCGGCTGGCGTAGAACTGGCGGTTATCACGACAAATTGTGCACAAGAACCAACATTAACATGGCACCCAAGTACTGAACCCCGCTCCAAGAGACACACAGCCAGTGCCGCCCATATTCCGCATGCATCCCAATCCCAACAGCAGATGGATTATTATTCTACCATGCAGTCCACACAACAGCTAGCTGTTGGTTCAACTTTTGCTCCTCTAGATTATGTGGCATTTTTCCTCCAACGTGGCAACGAGCTTCTATACTATACTATCAGCAACTACCGATGCTACTAATGACAGTAAGACATGTTACAAGTAGAAATTGTAGTGCTTATTTATATGCGAGCTGGTTAGTCACTTCTATTTGTTGGATATATATAACGCTTCACACCCGTTGTGACCCTAACTCAATGTTGTACTAGTATTTTAACTATTATGACCTACCACACTTAAATTTGCTACATTGGGGCATCCACAACGAGATTGATATATATGGCTCTCTAATGGACCTCCACGCAGGGGCGAAGCTACGTTGTAGCTTGTGGGTACCCATGCACCCACAGAAATTTGAAAAACCACTATTAGGAATAAATTTTCACTAAGGTTGTAGATCAAATTTTTACACCTATAAAAGAAAGGCATCCCCTATAATTTGCTCTAGCTTTGTCACTGCCTCCATACGAGAGAGAAAGAAACATCGCTAGATATAACTAGCAACGATAGCACGTCATTCGACGCTAATTGAGCCCTATACTACACATCTCGTTTGCTCCCTCTAACTCTTTGTGGCATGGGTGGGGTGGTGTGCCATCAGCATGGGTTGTGCGCACATTAAAGGCCATGGGCTATTGAGTATTGAGTTTTTTTTTTGGGGAGGCTCGGTCACGGACGAGTAGAACATAGACGTTGTTCGTGCCCTCGAGTTCACGAATCACGATTGTGTGGGTGGGCTCGCTTATGCAAGCAGCATTTTCTTTTTGAAAATTAGCAGCAGTGGTTGTGGGGAGTACAAGGGAGTAACATTGTGGGGTCACCTATCAGCTTCACAAAACGTACAACGGATGAGCCAAGTCACTTTGCTTTTTGAGAAAATAGCAAATATGCCCATATGCTAGCTATAACAGAACATACAACTTATATCATCGGCTATAATATGTTTTGAAATCAAACTTTGTATCGTGGCTGGACGCGGTATTCTAACTTGTATAAGTACGGATTGTGAGTTTTGGTTATGAAAAATACACATAATCCTTACTAGCAAATTTGCTCGTGCGTTGCAACGGAAAAAAACATATCAAATGTTAATGGCAAACATCGACAGAAATAAGACATCTATTTATGTGTCTTAGTCTCCCCAATACCATGCTGCAAAATTGGCGAGGGTAGGGGTTGAGGGTTTTCCATAGGGAGGTCGCCAATAATTGTGGTGAGAGACCTCTCTCAATTTTTAAATAACAAACTTCATCGGGATTGTAGAGATAGATTTATTTTTATGGAATTCGTCAACAAACCACTTATAAGATTTTAATTCTTGATTAGATTAGTTTGACTATTGGTTGATTTTAACAAGAATAAGTTCTGTTTTTAATCAAAACTATATCAACAAATTTGATGGTAAAAGTCTTTATTTCTTAGAGAAAGATAAGTAGCTCAAAGTCCCATGTTAATATATCTATATTATATTTGTTTTTTTATGTTTATAAGGAAATTAAAAAGCCATCGGCCAAAAGAAAAGGGCAAAAAACAAGCTAAAAAAATCTAAAACACAAGAACCCAGCGGGATCAATAAAACACCGAAATGTTATGGGCACGAAAAAACTGAGAACAAAACAGAAACAACCGAGGAAAAAAAAGATCGGAAGTATAGACGGAGGAGGACACGGAAAAGCGAAGCAAAAAAAAACAGAAATGTGCACTTGTAGTCTCGTACAGCAGGACTCTCTCTCTCTATAGGCCATGTTCGTCTGAACTTAGTGTTTTTCTCTCGTACCAAATCAGCGTTTAGTACTTTCCAGCTTAACTTATCAACGAAACGAATAGGCCCATTAAAAAATAACAAAAGTAGACATAAAAAAACAAAAGTAGATTAGTTCTTTGTTTTCTTTTCTTTTTATTTGCTTTCTCTTTCTTTTATTTTCTTTTTCTTTCCCAACCTTATCCGGTAACTCGTGTCGTGGAACCGCACGCGTATGCGACCGCATCTCTCTTCAACCTACGGCCGCCGCGCATGCCGCTCCCGCTCTCGCGTCCACACACCGCAGCTTGGTCACCGACGCAGCCTAGCGCCCCAGCATCCCGACGCCCCGTGTCACGCGGGCGACGCGGCTGACCATCGCGCAGTGGTTCTCGGAGCAGGGAGCGGATAGCATCGCGAGCAAGGAGAGGGAGGCCGCTGCTAGTTGGTGGCTACTCCGCATGCCGGCTACTGCTGGTGGCTACTCCGCATTGTTTGATTCGATATTGTTTTTTTTCTTGAGAAACGATTCGATCTTGTTGCTGATTGGGATTGGGATTGAGATGATCTCTAGGAATTTATGGGGTTGTAATTAGAGGTGATTTCTGGTTGGACAAAAGAGCGAATCCCTTTCTCGATTCAATTTGCAGATCATTTTTTACTTGATTTGGAGTTCTAACGGACTTATTCTTTCCCTTCTTTGCTTTACTTTGCGCGGTACGTCCACTTTGTCTCCATCAGCACGTTGGTTTCAGCCAGCCCAAACCAACCAGTCAACAGTGTTTTTCTCTCACAATAAATCAGCACCAGTTAGCCCAAACCAGCTCAGAAACCAACAAGCGAACAGGCCGATCTAATCTGATATCTAGAGATGAGTAGGATAGTTTATACATTCACATAGGTTGTTAGGGATGGTCAGACCAAAATAATGGATACCAAAAAGAGGTAGAAATTTTACATCTTTATTATTAAATATGAAAGATACACTAGAGAGTGGATGGACATACAGACCGATTGAGAGAGCGGCCGGACTAAAATTAGAAAAAGAAATGGTCTCCTTTTTAATATTAGGATAATACACAGATAGTTGTAGAGATAGCGGTTTAATTTGTGTGATTGATCCAGACAGGTCCATACGTGACTGTTGATTAACGGCAGATTCCGCATGTATATAAAAAATTATAAATAGATAAATCATGCATGGTGGCTACTAGCTACGTGTTTGTTGGGTCAAGTATTGTGGAAAAGGTCTTGGCATGGAAAATAGAAACACTGCCTAAATCGGAATCTCGTCTCAAGGGTCATGGGGCAGATAGACTTGGAGATAAAAATATTCGTGGAGCATTTTGGAACAGGACAAATGTACCGTGTAGAACCCATGCATGAGTGAATTTATAACAAAATGAAGGAAAGTAACTACCGGACCATCAATTAATTTACGAGTCGAATCGAAAAGAAATAATTGACCAACCAACCCAAATGTATCAGCATTTGTATCCAAACGAATAGAAAAAGGCATATATTTTTCCATGGAAGTTGTACTTTGCAGCAACATAAATCCTTGTAGCTATGAAAGACGGAATAAATATCATGCGAAATGCTATGAAACAGAATCCATAATCTTAATTTTCCAAGCAAGTTGTATTTCAATCACCAGTAGTTCTTCATCGTTAAAAGAAGAAGATGAAGAAGAAAAATACCACACGGCATGGACCTAGGAAACAAGGAGTACCAATCCGAAATGGGAAATGCTATCCTCGTATCTCGATATGTGCTGAAAAAGATGGCGATTGGGCGTGTGCGACTCGATCTTGATCAATCAACGACCGAAGGGCCCTCCAGGGACGTTGCTGTTGGCCTTGGGCGCCGGCGGCGGCGTCATATCGGTCGTCCTGTCCGGCCTCAGTACATCCTTCCGCCACGCCCGAAATTCAGAGCCTGCTGCATGCACCTCGGTTAATTTAATTCATGGCTCAATTCAATTCGCAAGGGTCGGAAAGCAAAATTCCTTGAAGAAACAGCAGATCGATCGAGACGGCAAGGAGAACGAATCGATCGACATGGAGAAGAGATCAATTAGAAAAGCTCAAAGCTCGTCATACCTCTTTGGCGGGAGGTGAGCCCCTGCCGCGACTGAACTGTCGAAGTCGTCGAGATCAACAGCACGGCAACGAACACGAGAAGAAGGCAGGAGACGGCGGCTAGCCGGCATGCTGTCCTTGCCGTGTTCTTGCCTCTCAGCGGAGCATCCATGGCGGTGTGGCTTCGCGTTTGGCCTTGGATAGGCGCGGGGAACTAGCATATATATATTATATATAGGATTAGGATATACAGAGCCTCGATCATCAGTGAGCAATGCACATGGCACCTCATCAGTCATCAGTCGTTAGTGTGTTATGCGCCCGTCGCATTCACATTTCCGGTGAGAATCGGTGCCACCGTCGCTGACCAGTTCTTTTGTCCAGACCAGCCAAACGAGTGTGCGGTTGGCTCGCTAAGCCAATGTCTAACATAGTTGTACAAACCAATATTGTTTAAATCAAATGCGGAATATTACAATCTTCCTATATACCATATATACTAAATTTAAACATCATAAAATTCGATTTACGCACATCTTTATTTCTATTTTCTATCTAATATTAAAGACAGGAAGGTTTCTTGTACGACGTATCCAATCACAGTCGTGCAACCCAATTCCAACCAATTGAAATATGGAACGTAAATTTCTATGGTCCGTCACACTCTCGGTTATATCCGTATGAGTTAGAGCAAAATATAACCATGCTTGAGAACCTAACCCATTAAAATTATTCAATCCAACACCCATTGACAGATCTAGTTTGGAGGTGCTGAGTACCTTCGAACAATCCACTTGGAATGGCCTGGAACCCATAGGGCTCAAACCACTAGGAAGCGGACCACCACAACTCACTCCAAACTAAGCTAACCTTCTTCCACCTATGATCCAAACCAAACCAATTACTAGATCGGAGTATCGGACCAGCCACCATCACATTAGAAACCAAAGTTCTCATATTTTGAAATTTATTTTTTTAATTGTTCGAACAAACTCGGACGGAGAAATTACCGGGGCTAGTTTTTCGGCCACCCGCCAGTCCTATTTCTAATACTACCTCTCTGGTATGTCTATGCACCAACTACTTCTGGCGCTGGGCGAGGTATATCAGCAAGTGAAGGGAGGAATTGCAATGTCGGCCCCAGCATGTTGGGTCTGCATGCAAGCCTCTTTTGAAGCTCTGCCGCACACAGTGCCTGTGAACACGGTCCTGTTGTGACTGGCGACATGCTTTGGTGTCCCAGCCGTTATAGCCAACTTCAGCTCGGCAGCTCTAATCTGGCAATCCAGCTCTTATTCCCCGTGCATCTCACTCCTAGGAAACAGGTTTTTGCCATTTCAATCTGATCACAATAGGCACTCCAAAGCATCTCTGAAAGCAGTCAGCAAGCTTCTACATACTCTTTCTCACCAACTATAGTTTCTCGTGGCACATGTTTAAATATGTAGAAACTAGCTGTGAGCAGACCATGCCTCATTCATGGCATTCAGTTGAATGCCCAAATTTTCTGGCAAAAAGTTGATCGAGTACAATATGCATCTACGATGCTCTGCAATAAATTATTTGAGCTGCTGCATTTAATCAAAGAAAAATATGTGCATATGTTTGGCTGCATAAATAGAGCTTGTGTGGATAGCAGATTGTAATCCTCTTTAATAATTTAAATAGAGCTCAACCTTTCTAGGCGAAAAAGAAGTATGGATAGCATAAATGTAATACTGAACCCAATGTCCTATAGTAAGCCCACGTGATATATATGTCGTTGTAGTTGGTACCAAAAATTTTCTAAAATATAACCTATCTATTTAAAAAAATTAGTTACAAATTTTTATCAATATCACTATTATTTTATTTAAAATATAATATATCTAAAGTTCTCATATTTTGAAATTTATCATTCGAAATAATTTACTATCCCAAAAATCTGTTTGAAAATATCATATTTCAAAATTTAAATTTTTTAATTGTTTGAACAAACTCGGATGGAGAAATGACCAAAACCGAAGTTGTAAATCTCGATGAGATATACAATTTTGTAGTCGATGACTTTTTCATTCAAATCATTTACTATCCCAAATTTCAGTTTGAAGGTCTCATATTTTGAAATTCAAAATTTTCAAATTGTTCGAATGAACTCGGATGAGGAAATTACCAAAATAAAAGGAGTAGATCTCATAGTTGACGATCGTTCCATTCGAAATCGTTTACGGTTCCAAAATCTTATTTGAAGTTCTCAAGTTTTGAAATTCAAATGCTTCGAATTGTTTAAACGAATTTGGATGAAGAAATAACCCAAACTAAAGTTGTAGATCTCGATGATATAGATTACATTTTTACAAAAAAAAATAGGTAAGAATTTCATATATTTTTTTATTTAGAAAAGAAATTATGGGAAGATGTGAATACAATTAGATCACACTTGATTATGTGAGGTTTTCATCACGGCGAAGTGGGCATGATGCTGAACCAAAAAATAGAAGTTCGTGATGCAGAATTGTAGATGACGATAACCTCGAGGTCATGAAGAAGATGGTGGTGTCAGTGATGGTAGACGTGTCTAGAACGACAGTGGACATATCGGGGATGACAATGGTGGACATGTCGGGGATGACGGCGGTGGCGACAAGAATGACGGTGTGGACATGGTCGGCTGTAACAGTGATGGAGATTGTTTGGAAGAGAACTAATCCGAAACATTGGATCAGAGGTACTACTCAGAAGTGCGAAAGGTTGATAAAATTTTGAAAGGGTAAAAAGTGCAGCGAGAGAGAGAATTTGTATGGCATTGAAAAGGTTCGTTCAACTCATCGAAAGATGTCATGTTTTGTGCTTAAGCTGATGATTCTGAATGATAAGACGGTTGGTCCGACTATAGTTACAATGATCTATTGTGTCTCTTGTCTTGGTTGCAGCCAAAGTCTAACTCTCTTCCCGCAAACACATACGAAGCAAAGAAACTTATCATCAGTCCGTTGTGGATGTGTGTTAAAAAAAAATCAACGCGTGCCAAACCACTGTATCATTCACAGTTGCAATTTGTTCGATTCACATTGGATAAATGTCTCACATGTGGTGTCAATCTTTACAGAACTAATGGCTGTTACATTAGGATGACCTAGGTACCTCCACCGAGAAGAGGAAGACGGGTGGGAAAAAAATGGACATATTGGTATCGATCAGCTCTGATCCGTGCTCAAAAGTTTGACCCAGATAAAACTAGTCAATGCCACAAAACTTTTAAGCACTGTTTGGTTCCCACGAATTAAGAAGAATTAGAAAAATAATATAATAATAAAATAGGAAGCACTTTGTAAATAATGGTTTCATTTCGTAGGATCTAAACAGACCCTTAATGTTTCACTCCGTGAACGCTTTTAACATTCTCACCCCGATCAGATGTATATCTAAAGTAGAAGAGATCCTTGATGACCTCCAATAATCTGAGGGTGCACAGGTGCCTTTGCCTTGGCCTGGCCTCTCTGACCTGGGCGTCGCGGCCCCTGCTGCATTCTGCTCTACTTTAAACTACTCTAAATTCTCTTCAATGAAACACGTTCCAAGCAAAGGAGGGGGCACATGATAGAATTGGTTCATGCATGACAAGGGAAGGTGGAGCTATGCGGCTTGCTTTGGTGTCCCCAGCCAATGAATCCATGTTGAACTCAACAGCTCTAATCTAGCAATCCAGCTCTTATTCCCCGTGCATCTCACTCCTAGGAAACAGGTTTTGCCATTTCATTGTGATCACAAATAGACACTCCATAGCATCTCTGTAAGAGCAGTCAGCGAGCTTCTACAGACTACACTACCTCACCAACTATATATAATTTCTTTTGGCACATGTTATTTATGCGCAGAAACTAGCTACTATATTTATGGGCTTACCAGCAACCATTACCTGGGCAGACCCCTGCTTCATTCAGGTCATTCAGAGTGTTATTTTTTCTGGGACAAAATTTAAACCTCAGAAAGTTATTTCTTTTGGGACGGAGGAAGTAGGTTATTAGTCTTAGCTTGTATGGGACATGTTGATGAACTTTTGTTGTTGTAGCGGTCTTGTATGTTTCAGTCTCCTATTTACTTTTCATGAATCTACCTTTGTTATAACGAGATCTTACTAGCTACCTGACCCCTGTTGTCAATTAAGAAACGACTTGATTTCTGGGAAAAAAGGGACATGGATCCTTCATCCTTATATGTGAATTACTTAGTCATCGTTTTACTCTTGATAGATGAACGAAGCCGATGGTATTTTAACTCAGCAACGTATACGTAGTTTCTTGCAGCATTTTAGAGCTGCACCCTGTCAATTTGAAGCAACTCGTGTCACTTTATACAGAGCAAGAAAAGAACAACAGCTTTCCTAGCTGCATCTATTACTGAAAAGATCTTTAGAGACGGGTAGAAAGCATTTGTAGAGGCGGCTACTTGGTGGCAACAGTAGAAAATCATCGTGGATCAATTTGTAGAGGCGGCTAGAAAGCATTTATATAGAAGCGGCTGCTCGTCAACATGGTGTATCATCAAATCAAATCATAGAGCAAATCATCTTCCTCTTGCGCAACAGTAGCAACAGTTGTACCTCGTACTTGGATCTGAAACCATGCTAAAGTATCTCTTCAAGCCCACAACTATGAATCAAAGAACAGTGTATTTGAATCATTGAATGTGTAATCAAATTGCTGGAGTGCAGAAGATTAATATGAGAACAAATGGATAATAATTAAATTCACATTTAGATGGATCAATTTGACTTACATTTCTTATTTTCCCTTTTATAACTCGGCATCCATGATGGTGCGTAGTGGCAGCACCACGGCGGCCACTGACCTGGCAGTGATGCAGTGACGGAGAGGTGAAGTCGCCAAGTCGGATGATTAGCGGTCAGGCGTTGGGTGGTCGTGTAGCCGAGCGTGGAGACGAAGGGTCAGAAGGGCACGTTACGTCGTTACAGGTGAGAAGAAAATGGTTCGTCTTCTCTACAAAGCCCAGATGGTGGAGTCTCTACAAGGTAATTCTGTGCATTTCTACACAACAATTTTATCTAAAAAGGATCTTAACTTTGGTGGCACAACCCTACCACTCCACCCAATCAAACCTGTTTATCCGTAGATAGTTTCATCACTACATTTACAACTATTGAAATTATGAGAATACTAAGTGAATGATTGA